GGTGGCTCCCAACTTCCTTTTAGGAATCACCAGGAAAGAGCAGAATGAGCACTTCCATGCCACAGGGGAGGCAACAGGCTGGAGCCCAAAGAGGGAAATGGTGCTCCACTTCAGGCCCAGGAAATGGTTCCTGGAAATGACTCTGCCTTCAAAGCCTGTGGAGCCCACCAAACATCGGAATGACCTGCATTCCTCACCTTGCTGTGAGTGTTTTGGGAGGATCTTCTTTTGGGTTTCCTCATTCCAGGGAGCCAAAAGTCACCCAAATTGGAGAGGACTGTGTTACACCAACTTCCCACCAAGGCGTAGAAAACAGATAGTATTGGAAGCAGCAGCAGGAGGGCACTCAATGAAGTGAATGCTATGAGACCACAATCATCCCAGTGGATGGATTCAAATAGATGAAAATAATTACAGGGTGTTGTTTTAAAAACAAACAAACAAACAAACAAACCAAAAATTTCAGGCCAGGCACGGTGGTGCATAGCTTTAATTGTAGCACTCTGGAAACAGAAGCAGATACATTTCTGTGAGTTTGAGACCAGCCTGGTCAACATAGTGCAATCCAGGCTTACAATAAATCAGAAAGCAGCCAGATGTGCATCCAGAGAAATATATGCATATCCAAAAGTTTGGTAACACAAAATGTCTTGATCTCATTTGTAGTTAGGAAAACGTAAATTAAGGCAGAATGGTTGAAATGATGAAAAACTAACAGTGAAAGCATCAATGTGCTGTACCACACACATAAGGAAACACATGCACGGGAGAGCACCTCTCTCTCTCTCTTTCTCTCTCTCTCTCTCTCTCTCTCACCCCCCCCCCCCCACACACACACACACACACACACACACACACACACACACACACACACACACACACCCTTGACATTATTAACAGCATTTGAATATTTGCAAAGTTGATGATCAGGAAAACCTGGATATTTATGGAAGTAGTATTTACAGTAGTCAAACTTGGAAAGTTAGCAAGGAAGTGGAACCGAAGAGTTGTCATACTGTGTAGCACTAACATGTGGCAATAAATAAACCACAGCTCTGTGCAGGTTCGTGAATGAACCTCATTAATACAGTTTGGGTCACTAATGGATTCAATTCACACAAAGTTTAAAATAGATGAACTGATCTTTGGATTTGGAGTGTGGGTGAGAAATGAGGGTCTAGTCCTTAGAAGGGACCTTCAGAAGAGTTTGGAGCAGTGGTTGGAAGTTTAGCTTGCTGCTAGGATAGTGGATTGTGGGAATGTGACTTAATATAGATGTTGAGTGTCCCTTGGTGGTTCTTGTGTTAAGGTCTTGGCCTCTGGCTCCACTGGGAGGTGGTAGCATCAGTAGGAGGTCCTTACATGTAAGAGTTAGGTCATTGATGTGGAGCAGAGGGCTCTGTCTTTCTGCCTCCTGACTGATACATTTTCTTCCCTATGTGCTCCCAAATGACATATGGCCTCTCCAGAGCTCACAAGTGATAGGCATTAGGTATTACACATCCTCTTCTTTTGGTCCTGGAGCTCTCTCTTCCACCAGTTAACTGTGCAGCAGACTTCATTCATTTGGTCAATGAAGGAATAAATTGATTTGTGTGGGTGCTGTATAAACTTCAGTGAAAAATGGCAAATGCAAATATTGGAAGCACAGGGCTGTTGTCATCTTCTCTAAGCCCATGGAATTGCCAGGCTCAGAGTCCTTTGTTTTTGGACAAAATGTTAAAACAGTTTTAGGTTCATAGCAAAATGTAGTGGGAAGTACAGACTTGCATTCCCTGACTGTGCACATCACACTGTCTGTCAACCACACCCCAGTCACATGGCCTGCTTTTCAAAGTAGTAGCCAACAGCAGCACACAATCACCCAGAGTCCAGTTTACACTGAGGTTCACTCTTGGTGTTGGTCCTTCTGTGCTTTAGACAGATGTATGGTGACATGTGAGTAGCTGACCACGTGTGCTACCTAGTTGTGTGATGAACATGGAGAAAATGAACAAGGGTTTGGAGGGCTCTGCAAGCAGCAGTTATCGTATGGACACAACCTTCAGAAAATAGCCCAAATCTGAGCTCAGACATCACTACATCCCTGAAAGAATAAAGCTGACATGGGCATGTGGTGGAGAGTCCTAGATGCACCTGAAGAAATGGAGGGCTGAGAAACAGGACCATCCCTGTCAGCCCTGCAGCAGGCCCTGGGTTAAGGGCTTCCTTTTCTTTGACCAGTGCACCACTTAAAACCTAACAAAGGGCAAGGGAGAACATTAGGCAGGAGGGCCTCAGTCCTGTTGCTCGCTGGAATTTCTATGTAGGCCAGCTGGTCTCTGAGCTCACACTTTCAGAAGGAAGGGACCTTCAGGCTGCAGGGTGGGTTGTGCAAACACAGGTGAGTAGAAATGAGGGAAGAAACAGCCCAGCAAAGGATCAGATGGAACAGCAGCGCCCTCTGAAGGTGATGTGATCTTCATTCCTCTTCGCCTAACTTCTGTGAGCCCCCTTAAGGCATCAGAGGCTTGGGTTCATTTTAAACCCTAATCTAGTCCTTGTGCTTATTGCTGAATGCACACTGAGAGTACAGCAAGAGCCCAGGTATCTGCACCAGACAGTGTCCAAGGTGGCCCTAGACAACAAACAGGTCCTCAGAATTTAAACAGAACATTTTAAAATATTCAGGCCTTTAAGAGGTAAAGCAAAATTCTAATGATGCAACTGTAGGCTGGACAGTGGGGAACATAGGGGTTGCCTGGATACTGAGGGAGGCCTACAAAGTGCCCTGGAGTCATCAGTCCTAGGCCAAGGATGATGTACCATGGGATATTTCACCTGGGCTCCGAGCCCTGCAATCTAGATGTAAAAAGAAAAATTCATTTCCTTCCATCACCCCTTTCTGTCCCTGTGCTCTGTTAATTCCTCTCCTGAGCAGCTTCGGAGGAGTCTTGGAGTTCCTGGTTCTTTACCAGTCTGGAAGCCTATTCTATTGTAGACATTGTGTGGTCCTTGACACAGGAGACAAGTGATGAAATGGAGTGGCAGATGGTAATAGCATTTTGGCTCCATTTTTACAGTACCCCTCAAAAGGAAAGAAAGGCTTCCTGAGTGTGCTTGAAAAACAACCTGTCCAACAGCACCCTGTGCTGGTTTCTCAGACAGGCCATAATGCATACAGACATACATACTGTATTCTAGGAGAATGTATTGTGAGGAAGACAGAAGGCAGGGCCCCTTACTTCCAGATAGTGTAGGATGGATTCTTAGTTCCAAGGGTTCAAATGTTTTGCTCCAAAGGAGAGAATTGACCTTTTTTTTTAATTTCAAAATATTAGCTCCCACATCTTTTGAATCTAAATCCGTGTTTTGTTTGACTCAATGTTTTTGTTTTGATTCACACCTTATCTTGATGTAACTGTCATCCCAGACTAACCTAGAATTTGTCATGTGGCCCAAGCTGTCCATAAGCCTGTGCTGCTCCTGTCTCAGCCTCCAAAGGGCTAGGATTACAGGTGTGTGCCAACACTTGCAGTACATGTTTTAAATGGGACTGATTGCATGATTTTAAAAAACCCAAGTTTACCATCTTGTTGGAACAGCTGCCAGTATAGAGTCGCTTTTCCCAAGGGAGGCACTGGCCCCTGCCTGGAAAATGCGCTGGGCACCCACAGCAGCCTTTGTTTCTGGTGCAGATCTCCAGGGCTGGCAGCCATTTCTTTGTGTGACTCATTTCTATTACTTGCCTCTCACTCAAAACACAGAGTACTCAGGGCTCTTCCTGGAAGAAAAAGTTGGGATGTTCATCAAAATAGTCTGTGGGGGCAGTGAGCCTTAAGGCTGGGGATCTGTGACACACTGAGCTGATCAGAAGAATTAGGATGTCCCCAAATCTCGGTGGGAATAGACTTTGGGACGGGCTCCCAGGGTCAGTAAGGCACCTTGTCCAGTGGACCTCACAGGCTGGAACCGATAGACTTGCTTGGGAACCCGGTGGACTGCAGACCAGGGGCTCAGCCTCTACTGTCTTGCAATATGACCTGATTTTCTAAAGGGCACAGGGTAAGGGTTGGTGAGGGTTCGGGGAAAGTGAGTGGATGGGCAGTGCTGCCTGTAGTTTCAACTAGAAAAGTGAGAAACTGTTGTGTTTTTGATATCTGAATAATGCCTCAAACACCTTGTTAATGTGAACTATTCATCAGCCTCTTGTGTTTTGAGAATTCACATAGTAACACAGCCACAGTACCCTTCTGGATTGCCTGATTGCCAAGTGAATTAATTTACCCATGCCATTCACTCACACATCAGCTATTAGGGTCTACTATGGTTATGGTGAAAGGTATGCAATGATCAACAAGATAAAGTTTGAAATTCTTCCTGTTCTTGCTGGAATCCTGGATGCGAGATGAGGAAAAGGTGTTAATCTTGCTCCTGTTTCAACTCCTGAGCAAATTTAGATCAGGTACTTAGCCACTGTGACCTTCACTTTCTGTATGTATAGAACAGGACCAAATTGTCATTGCACTTAATTTTGTTCTATTGCATTAAACTCATTTAAGAGTTTACATACAAATAGTTAAAAATGTTTTGTAGCCTGGGTCATGGGAAAGAGGCCAGTGGTTATTCTGTTATAGCAGGTGACGGCACCGTCTCTAAGTCTAATCTTTACTGTGAACACCCACAGAAGAATGACAGCCGCTTCTCACAAGAACATGTGCAGTTGGGGTAGTGGGTTTATTTTATTTATATACAAGTAAGCATTTATTGATGTTTTTGTAAGGGATGAGGTAACAGAAACTTACAGCATGATAATGGGATATCTGCAACAGGCCAGTACTGAGCCCCAAGACTCAAAAGAACAAAGACCCCACATATCACAGCTTTCAGGCAGTGTAGTTATTCAGACCACAAGGGCAACAGTACAAGCAGCAAGTGACAACAAACACCATTGATGTGGCAGTTGCTGACTGGGAAGGAGCAGGCTGGTGGGTGCCTGGGGTCACTTTGGGGAAAGGGCTTTAAAATCGCATGAATCCCCCATATCTTTTTTCTATCTCCGGAACTTCTTTAGAGTAACTTTCACCTTCCTCATCGGAGGGCAGGGACTCAGCAAAGTGCTTCAGGAAGCCTCCGTATCTCTTTTGGTAGTCCATCCACCATTCTGGGCGGCCCACCCTTCTCATGAAGCCCCCATAGCGCTTCTGCAGCTCTTTTGCTTCATCTTCCAGTTGGGGGCTTCTTTTGAGGCTTCTCATGAAGCCCCCATACCTCTTGCTCATGTTGTCGTCATCATTGTCAGCGCTCTCCTGGTGGTGGCTCTCTCTTGCACGGTTGTCTCCTGCTCCCAGGAGCTCTTTTAGCAGATCGGAGGAGTTGGCCAGAGTGTCGCCCTCATCTGCATCCTTCTTCATGAAGCCGCCATACCTCTTGGCAAGGATCTCCCCTCCATTAGCTGCTTCTTCTGGCTCCACAGGATAAAGCTCATCCATCTTCTTCATGAAGCCTCCATACCTTTTCATGAACCCTCCATACTTCTTGGCTAGCAAGTGGCTCTCATCCTGTTTGCTGCTGTCTTTGAACACGTCGAAGCTATCCCAAGGGAACTCAGGCTTGGACACTTGCAGGAGATCCTTGCAGGTCTCCCAGATTTTGAGAGAAGGCACTTGTCCTTCACATTCTAGTGTGCAAGCCTGGGAAGACAAGGAGATACATGACCAAAAGAGACCCTTCTGAGCCAATGATGGACCATAGTTACCTGTTTTAGTATACACACTGTCACAGAGAAAAGCTATTTCCATTCTCTCATCATATCTTTCTCTCACACTGAACAAGCAATGAACCAGGGAGCACAGAAAAAGGAAACGAGTATGCTGCATCAGCCCAGGGTTTCAAGGGATCCTCAATTTTACCTCAAATGGCTGCCTTCAGAACCCAGTTTTGCCACACTGTTTCCTACTGTTTGAGGCTTTTCCAGCCCAAACGGAGGAATCTATTTGCTTGATTAGGGACATTTCCTAAAAACTCCCTCCATGTCCCTGTCTTAGAGAGACAATCTTATCAATGAGCCTTATGAGATTTATTAATGAGTGCCCCCATCACTATCTTAGTCTCCCTGCAAATACTTTCAACCTTTAAAGAAAAACCTGCAGTTCCAAAATAAGTTTAAAGAGAAAGCCATTCAAAACACTATACCACACTTATTTGTTGTGAGTTACTTGATTGGCTAAAAAATAAGATGCACTGACCTTTCTTTCTCTATCCCTCCCCCCTTTGTGGCTATTTAAAACAGATTACATCATTTTGAACCAAATGCTGTCAGTTGCCTGGATGCCAATGCACAGATTATTTATATTATTTTCTTAAGAGTAAGTCATTGGTGTATAAAACAGGTCTTTTCATATTCTTTAATAAAGAAGGAATTAGCAGCATATAATTACTGCTTTCTTATTATACAGCAATTAAACTCAAGCCATAGTCAGCTTTAGGCTATCATCTTAAATGGACCTTGTTCAGGCAATTTTTCGATTCAATTGCTTTTCTACATCGAGAATAACATGAATATTAGATTTCATTACAAAATCCTGTGATGTTCCTAAGCATTTCAGGGGGCTTCACAACCTTCTAAAAGGACTTTACAGACACCGGGCCACAGCCCTTGATTTAGACTGGAAATCCAGCCCTGTTGGCACTTAAAAATTGATATGTTCATATTAAATACACACATTATTTTCACAACAAAAGCCTTTTATTCATGCAACAAAATATCTTCTGGAAAGATAGTTAACCAACTTTTAATGTTATTTTAATTTTGTGTTTAAGAAAAAAATATATATGAGTATGTAAAAGCTAAAGAGGAGCTAATTAAAATAAGTCAGTTTATTCTTGAAAATATATGATTAAAGACTCAAAACATCATTAAAAGGTTAGGATGCACAAGTGGCAATACGATTTCCACTCTGAAAATGTATTTCTATGATTTGGTGGCCAAAAATGAATGTCATCAATGTAGCTTCAGAGGCACTTACCACTCACCGAGTGCTCTGGTTGAGAGCACACTAAATCATAATTTCTAGACAACTGCCAAAGCAACTTCTCATCTCGGTGCTCATTACACTAGCTCATGGGAAACTTGGTAAATATTTACTGACTTATTTTGTACCTTTGACTAGGCAACCTCATTTTGCCCATGGGTTTCAGCTAAAATTCCAGAATAGCTGTAATTGTAAAAACATTCGAGCATTAACTAATTCCCTGTCAATGAGAAAACAGCAACATTAAATGTACACTGCAATGGAAAACAAATTTCTCCTTCAAAGGCTTCCTAAAGGATGTTTGAATTGATAACAGCTTTCCCTAACCTGTTCGTACTGCATGTGGTCTCCATCATCTGCTCCACAGATAAGGACAGAGAGCTACAATCACAAGGACAAAGTTTTCCGAGGAAAAGCAAGGGAAAGAGCACCCCTGCCACCCCCAGAATGATGAATGGCAGTTGAGAAGAAGTAGAGAAACCAGAAGATTCTCTGCTGTCTGGCAGCCACTTGTCATACAAGGGCCTCTGATCAAGCTCTTCAGCAATGGAAAAGGAAGATGAGCATCACTTCTGAACTTGGTGAACAGCTGAGTGGAATTTGCTTGACTCGATATTATTAAATGTCAGTTGTATCTGAGTTCCCAAATCATATAATTTAATAAATCTGCTATTATTTGAGGTCACACGATAGGATCATAAACTCTTAGAATTCACATCACCATTACATAGCTTACATTATGTGTTGCCTGGAATTCAGGAGCCAAAATCATGATATGGTTTTAATCTGTTTTTTATAAAA